GTAAGTTTGAGTGAGTTGGAGCCCGAGGCCAGGCGAGGCTCGGGGTTAGACGCTCGGGTTGCTAGCGACTAGCATCCCCGCTACAGCTGCAGCGTAGCTCTGGGAGCGAGCTCGTCTGAACTGTCTGCTCTGGTCAGGCTCAGAGAAACGGCACTAGGATTAGTGTGTGTTACATGGAAACTTGTGTGTTTGACTGGAAAATTCAGCTCAGTTTGAGGATTTCATGTCATCACGTCAGTATAAAAGACAGATGGGCCAGAATGATCTCTACTCAGTGAGCTCATGCAGTGAGACAATTGCTGCTCGTTAAAGACTCGGTAAACTCCCCCTCCAACGCCAGACTCGACTCATCCCGGCCCGTTTTCTTCTAGACGTGTCTGTCCAGGCCTGAGCCCGAGTCGCCGTGATCGCCTGCAGGTGTAATGGAGAGGACTTTTGTAGCTGAGTTCTGTTAAAATGGGACGTGAAGGCAACGGACCCAACTGCAGATGGCGGTCCGACTTGTCAAGCAGCTGTTGGTCTCCATGGCAACTGAAAAGTTCAGGGAAACGTAAGTCCGACCATCTCCAACAGGAGTAAGCAACAATCCTTTCTTCTATTTGAAGCAATGGATAAACCAAGAAGGTTGGTGCCTATAGGAACCACACAGAATGTGGTGAGGACGGTTCTTCAAAGAACGGACGTCTTTACAATAACAGGCCAGGTGAGAATAAGAATCAATCAAAGCTTTATTTATAAAGCGCCCTGTGGGGAAGCCCAAGGCGCTGAACACGGTACATGAGGAATGTGAAACATTGAAGTAGAAGACAAACGGGTACAACACGGGATAAAGAGCAAAGATGGCCGAACTCAAACGCGTTCAGGAAACGCCAAGTGGAGGAGGTGTGTTTTTAGGCGACTCTTGAAGACTGGCAGAGATGGGGACAGCCTAACTGAGGGTGGCAACTGGTTCCAGAGTGACGGTGCTAGGACTGAGAAAGCCCGGTTCCCACGAGTACGACACCTAGACCGAGGGACAGCGAGCAGGCCTTGGTCAGAGGAGCGCGTGATGGGGAATGTTTGTTCAGGAGAGTGGCCAGATAGGGGGGAGCACCACCCTGGAAGAAATGATAGACAAAGACGAGGAGTCTGAATTGTGAGCGATAGCGAACCGGAAGCCAGTGCAGGGAGGCCGGAACCGGACTGATGTGGTCCCGTTTCCTGGTCCCAGTCAGGAACCTGGCTGCGCTGTTCTGCACAACCTGTAGGCGGCGCTGTTATGACTGACACAACCCTGCGTAGAGAGAGTTGCAGTAGTCAAGCCTAGAAATTACAAAGGCATGCAGTACCCGCTCCAGGTGGGCTCTCGACAGCATGGGCTTGATTTTTGCAAGGTGTCTCAGGTTAAAGAAACTGGACCGGATCACTGAATTGATGTGAGCATCAAATTTAAGTCCTGCATCAAGTTTCACCCCCAGACTGGTAACAACTGGTTTTGAGGACCTTTATTAGTCCCTCAGTGGGGAAAGTGCAATATTGCAATGGCTCAGGTCTTCTGCAGACACACCTCCTTTTTCTGGATGAGGTCATCCACGAGGTCATCTGATGCTGTTACTCCTGAGCTGAGCTGATGCTAGCCAGGCTACTCAGGTGTGCTGTAGATGAGCCTCAGGTTGAGAAGCTTCACTCAGCAGAAGCAGAAGTCATCAGACTAGCAGATTAGGTTTATTCTGGTCTAAATGGGAAATTACACTGATGCAGACATGACTACAGCTGATGATGTGATATGAAAGGCTATGAACCAAAGACCACGTAAGACACTTAAATGAGTCGTGGAGGATGGCTGCTTATACTGAGCCAGGATCCTCTGGAGGGTTCTTCCTGTTAAAAGGGACTTTTCCTCTCCACTGTCGCTGCATGCTTGCTTAGTGTGAGGATTGCTGTAAAGACTCTGACACTAGTCAGTGACTCGATGCAACCTGCTGGGTTCCTTATGTAGGAAACTTGTTACTGATCGGCTTCATGACCCGACCTGTGTTGTTTACTGAGTGAAGGCCCGTGAGACGACTCTGGTCCTGATGTGCTGCTTTATAAATAAACTGGATTGGATTTAATGAATGATAATTGACTGTTTCTTTCTTGTGCTTGCTCCTTATCTATGTTTCTGTTTGGATGCATCTCTTCCACACCTGACCACTGGTTGGTCAGGTGCTGCGTGCCGTCAGTAATTTCAGGAACGTGCCCGGTGTTGAAAACGTGTCTCATTGTTTCCTCTCCTCTTGTCTGAGCTGATGGCGCTGTGTGCGCGGCGCGCTTCACGGCAGTGATGCACCTGTAGCGCATTTAGAGAATCTGTGGCAGGACAAGCGTATAAGCCATGGAGCAGAAATCAGACGTGGCAGCGGGAGCGGGTTAGGCTAACCCTAACCCGTCAGTGACCACGCCCTCCTCCTCTAACATATACAGGTAGCAGACGCAGAGGAGGCGTCTATCTCCATGTTCATTCATTTGGACTTTTGGGCGGAGGAGCGTCCGAGAGACTGAATAAAGTGTTTGGAGACTGCTGGTGTGGTGTTTGTGCATGTGACCCCGACGGAGCTGCATGGCTACAGCTTCCTAAAAGCGAGCCTGTTCAGGAGAAGCAGGACAGCGCGCTGGGGCACCGAGGATGGCTGCTGTTTACTTGGAGCAGGCAGGTGCTTTTTCTGAAATCTTGGAGATTTTGACTAATAAATGACCGGAAAAACTACCGTTACTCATCGTACCACGGAAACAAAGTCCTGCACGCCGAGAGGTGAGAATAAGAAGTGTGTACTGGTGCATACCGGCCCACTGAAAGCACTGGCTGTGGTCAACTAGAACTTCTGCTAAAACTTAAATGTGCAAAAACACAAGGTTCACTCCAGAAGATTTAGCAAACCTAGTCGGGGCTCATAGAGAGTGGTGTTCACAGAGGTTTAGTGTTAGCCAGCTCACGAACGTTAGCTGCTGCTGCGTTCCCCTATTGGATCCAGTTCCCAGCTTTGCCAGAAGCCACCTGCTGGATTTATAACATTATGTGATGAACAGTATCTACTTTTCTCCGGGGATGATCTAAAACGCCTAAAATGTCTGGATCCTACCGGTTTTTGTCACTGACGGGGTCATCAGGCCCAACTGCTAATCTCACACCAGGGAGGGGGAGATAGATATCTAATAACGATGAAACTCATCATGCTAAATAAATAACAGAATTTCACACAGTAAGCGTACCCGGTAAAAGGTGTTCGCTGCAAATCCACAAAGACTCGGGCTGCTAGTCTGTTTGAGTGATTGCCGCTGTCCATCCATGCGTTGTCGCCATCAAACGCGTTTGGTATGAAGACAAGTTGGGTGTACATCCTTGTTTTTTAGCTAGCCAAAGACCGAGCAAGCTGTACGGTAAAACTAACAAACCTGGATGGGGATCTGCTCTGGACCTGGGGGATTGGATCCTGGTCTTTATGCTGCCGGTAGAGGGCGGGACCATGCAGCGGTGTCTGGCCCTGGCTTGGGGGCCCCGGGCGGACCCTGGTTCCTCCTGAACTGGAAGAAACACTTCCATTCCATCATGGGGTTCTGCGATGCTTCTGCTTTGGGCAATGACTGGATGGGCTGGGGTCTCCATGCCCCGGGTGGATTTTGGGAAAGGGGGTGCCTATTGGGGCGAGCTGGCTCCCTGGAGGGCTCAGGCCCCCCAGATATTCCTCCCCATCCTCAGACATTTTCCTCCTCCTGCTCCTTCACATCACCACACAAACATGCACATAGGGCCTTGGGGTGTGGGTAAGTCAGGGGGTGCGAGTATGGTTTCCATTTCCACAGGTCCATGGTGGCTTGCACCACAATTTTAGTCACACAGGAAACACCTCCACCAACGACATTCCACATAATGCACACTTAGGGCCTTGGAGGTGAGCACACTCAACAGCACCTGGTGGGGGGATCGCTCAGCCTCACCTCGAGTGCCGGTGCCCATTTCCAATCTTAATCTGCACCTTGACACTGAGGGTTGTGGAGGGGGGGATTGTGGTTGTGTGCTGGCTCCAGCTGGTGTAGGCCAAACGATGGCTGGACTGCCCCCCAAACCCAGAAAGCTCTTTAACAACACGCATCAACACCACACTGGAGCAGGCGGAGGGAGACTGGGGGTCTTATCACACCTCTGTTCACTGTTGGCTGCCCAGGGCTGGAGGCTAGTAGTGGGAGTTCTGGTCTGGGGTGGTGGGTTGCTTTGCTCTGCATTGGGCGGGGATGCCTGCTCATCATTACCCCAGTAGAACAGGGTTAGCTCTGGTGTGCGGGAACAGCTCTGTGCAACGGTACCGGGACCAGAGTCAGTAGGGTGTGTGTGGGTGTATGATGTGCATTTTTGTGTGTCTTTGGGTTATACACTCACCTAAAGGATTATTAGGAACACCTGTCCTGTTCAACTTCTCCTTAAGGCAATTATCTAACCAACCAATCACATTTAGGGGCGTGGTCCTGGTCCAGACCATCTCCTGAACTCCAAACTGAAGGTCCGAACGGGAAAGAAAGGTGATTTAAGCTATTGTGAGCGTGGCGTGGTTGTTGGTGCCAGACGGGCCGGTCTGAGTATTTCACAACCTGCTCAGTTACTGGGATTTTCACCCACAACCATTTCTAGGGTTTACAAAGAATGGTGTGAAAAGGGAAAAGCATCCAGCAAGCAGCAGTCCTGTGGGCCAAAAGGCCTTGTTGATGCTAGAGGTCAGAGGAGAACGGGCCGACTGATTCAAGCTGATAGAAGACCACAACCCTCGTTACCATCGAGGAACGCAGCAAAGCGTTTGTGAAGCCAACACGCACAACCTTGAGGCGGATGGGCTACAGCAGCAGAAGACCCCACCGGGCAGGTACCACTCATCTCCACTACTAACAGGATGAAGAGGCTACAGTTTGCACCAGCTCACCAACAGTGGACAGTTGAAGACTGGAAAACTCTAGCCTGGTCTGATGAGTCTCCGTTTCTGTTGAGACGT